ACGTCTGTTCTCGACCTTAACAACATCTCATTGTAACAAACCTGTAATTCAGCTCTCTGCAAAAGGTTTGAATAAGCATCATCATCCTCATCATCATCAAATTTAAATTATTGGTGTACAAGTAGTGTTTCAAAATTTGCCTGAACTGAATGAGAACATGTGAGACATGTCAGGGCTCGACACTAACAGTAGCCAACTAGCCACAGACTAGTAGCAATTCAGTTTTGGCAAGGGATTTTTGATTTCCACAAGCCAGTTCAGCTAATAAATGAACTGAAATTGTTGTAACATCTAAGATGTCACTAGCCACTTGGTTAGTTAGTTGAAAAGTTAGTGTTGAGTCCTGCAACTATGCTAAGACTAAGATGTAGCACTGTTCTGTGTAATCAGTGCCCTGTTATGTCATTGTGATCACAAATAGCAAAGATGAATTGGCTGATATCTGTAAGATTTAATGAAGGCCCATGGGTTTTTCGTTAAAGGGAGCGTAAATGCAAAGAAAAATTTCAAATTATCATAACCCCCAAAAGTGTCTATGGCCACTTACCAGAATATCTGCCAACAGTAATGTAAAATTACAATCCAATGCCATTGCTAACAAGGTTTTGTGAAGGTGGTTGTTAGTAAAGCTGCCTGCAGGGCTCAACAATAACTTTTCAACTTACTAGCCGCCAAGTGGCTAGTGTCAACTTAGATGTTATAACAATTTTCAGTTTGTTTACTAGCCAAACTGGCTAGTGGAAATCGAAAACCACTAGCCAAATCCTAATTTTTACTAGTCTGTGGCTAGTTGGCTACTGTTAGTGTCAAGCCCTGTGCCTGCTTGTGAAAGTTCTTGTTTAGAGATCTTCCACTGTCTTCCAACTTTTTCACTTGTAAGTGTTCAAGCAAGGACAAATGTAGGTCTGAATTTGCTTTCGATTTAAGGTTCTAGAGGGGCTTGAAAGTTTCACACAGTTGCAGAGTTTATTTGTGGGAAAGAACAAGATCACAAAGCTTGAGGTGGGTGCTGTGTTTTCTTTTTGTGTAGATTTTTTTCTGGTGTATTGTAGTTTTGTTATCACAAAAAAACTCAAAGATGGAGTTTTTCCTAGTTGTCATTGGTTTTTCTTAGGAGGACCAACTGACTTGGTCATTGATGTTTTCCTGATCTTCAGGCAGTTTGCGCACAAGTTTTCAGTTAAAGAGGCCAGTGGCTTATTGTCAGCAGTAATTTTTTTTGTTTTACCTACACTCATTGAACTTTTATTGGTTTTCAGAATCTTAGTTGTCTCACAAACCTGAAGCTTCTTAGTATACAGGTAAGTGGTAAGAGTAAAAGACAATTCAGGGTATTTTGACTATCCAGCTGCTGGAGGAGTTGTGCAATTATGAAAACAATTTTGTAGTAGGTGGAACACTGTTACAATGATTGCATTTTAAATTGACTGTCTTCACATGTACTGCCAAATCTTACAATACTTTGAATGAATAGGCACTTTTTTTTACTGTTTAAAGGAATTTTAGTTAGAAATGTAATCCATGATATGTCTATGATCTTTCAATTTGGGTCTGAGATGGAACTTGGTTGGTCATCATGTTGTGTTTTTGGGAAAGACACTCCATTCTCACAGTTTCCCTTCGTCTTGGAATCTAAAACTGAGGAAATGCTGGAGAGTCATTGGCAATGAACCAGCATCCTCTCCAAAGGAAGTAGCACTGCTTCTAGTCGCTTAATGCCCTCTGATCTGTTCATCAGAACCTGGTCACATTTCTGTATTTCTTGACAGTTTTATCATAAATGATAAAATTTACTCGAATGACATTGGATTTTGTTAGACATTTAAGAATAAATATTAGCGTGAAAAACACACAACGTTTTGATGACTCCATGTCATCATTCTCAAGTGAGAAGAGAATAAAAATGAATAGTTAATTTATACCATACGAAGGTGACAAACGTAAAAAGTTAAGAATCTTTTTAAAAATTTAAATAAATAATTGCGCGTGTTGAGTTCATAAATGTAATCTATTAAATAAATAGTTTCACGTGTATGGAATCCGATTGTTTGTTCAAAATGGGCTTCATCTTCTTTGTGTGTTTTTCTTGCTAGATAAAATTTGTTTTTTTTTATTTTTTATCATAGAGTAATCGCATTGTTAAGCTGGAAGGTTTGGATAGTTTGGTGAACCTAGAAGAACTCTACATCAGTCATAATGGCATAGAGGAAATAGAAGGACTTGACAATCTGGTAAGTGGAAAAGGGAAAGTTTTATGTTTACTGGGCTCTTTTAATCACATGCAAACTCTAAGGGGCAGATTCAAACTTGAACAAAATGGATCTTAATCCTCCAATTACTACTCAGGAACTTAGTATAATAAACGAAGTGAAACATTTCACATGTTTCCTGAAAGGTCTGCAACATGATCAATGAAAGTGTGTAATGCATTTTCAATGACGTATCTCCAACCCAGTAGTGTATATGATCTTGAAAGATGCAGTAATTAGATTTTCCTCAAGGTAGACTGGCTTCCTCCTATCAGGAAAAAAAGGTATTACTATAATTTATAACTTGCAAATTTTATTTGGTGATAATCATTACGATGAAGATTTACAAACTAAAATTATGTAATAAATTGAATGGATTTTCTGTGCTCAGTTTTAAACAACACCTTTACTTGTGGATAAGTCAAACTATTCTCTTGGAAGGGGCCAACCATGACTTGTTTGGTTGAACTAAGCAAGGAAAAGTCATGTTTCTTATACAGTGTATGTTGATTGTCGGTATGTACTCTGAACAGTAAGGTGGTCAGTGGTGGTTGCTGTATGATAACAAGCTCTCTCAATCACAATTTTGTTTGCACAGACAAATCTTAAAACACTGGACTTAGCATCAAACAGGATAAAAAGAATCAAGAATATCTCCCATCTTATCAACTTGGAAGAATTTTGGGTATGTTTATCAACGCTTGATTCTGTGATAATTACAGGCACTAAATATTTCAAGATGTATATGGTAACATTGTTAACAACCCCTACTGGTAAAAGGCGTAGCAGGTGGCAGTCCTACTTCGAGAAGTTGAAGTTGAAGTACTGTAGGTACTACAGAGAAAGAAATTCAATTTAGTGGCAGGGGAAATACTTGGCCTGGTATGAACAAGTTTCAATTCAGCTCCCTCCTCATTCAGGCACTTCACAGTGCTGCCTCTCGTCCTTCACTTTTTGGTAAAAGCATCACCATTCTAATAAGTGACCCCACCCCCTCGCCTTACCGATAAGTAAGCATCCTTGCAGGTCTTCGGATTGACTTCTACCATCAAGGTACTTTGAAAGTGACCGTGGTATCTTCTCCATAAGTTGCTTTTTTTCTTATAAATCAGACACGGAGCGTTTGTTACTTGATAAGGAAAGCTCAGAGAGTGAGGGCTAATTAAGACGTAGGAATAAGGTACAGGAACCGTTTTAACAAAATTCGTTCACACACCGAATATAATTTTTGGATAATTGTCCATAATGCGAGGTAAATTATAGCAGCTAGGGATTTAGCGAACGTAAGAGGGTGGGATGGCAGTAAGGGTGGGCTCCGCGCTCGTTTCGGCCGCTCGCCCCTTGCCTCCTTGCTTAGCTATGAAAACAACTCGATATCAAACAAAAACGGAAACTTAAGCAAAACGGCTGTGGACCGAGTATTTTCGACAAACCCCCCACTGCAATTTATTTCTCAAATATGAATCATCGCAGTGTAAGCCTGTCAGGATTTCAAATTTCTTCGTTGTTTTCCACATGCAGTTCAATGACAACCAGTTAGACTCGTGGGAAGATCTGGACCAGTTCAAGAACTGCACCAAGCTTGAAACAGTTTACCTAGAGAGAAATCCCATCTGGCGAGACACGGCGTACAGGCGAAAAGTCAAACTTGCTCTTCCAACAGTCACGCAGATTGATGCTACGTTATGTGGTTAACAGCTAATTTGGAGCACGGTTCAGTTGAGGCGCGAAAGTCGAATCCGAGAATTGCATTAGGTTTACCTCAATACGCTGTGTGATTGGTCTTGAAAGTTGCGCAAGTCTCCCAGGTTTATGGTTTCTCCATTCTAACAGAAATTCTTATTATGAACTGTCGAGGCTAAGGCGTATACTCTTATTGAAGGGTGATAAGAGGACATTGGATGGTATAAAAGAGATTTTTTTTCCTTTAAACATCAGTTGGTATATTTTTGTTCTGAGAATCATTGGCTCCGTCGCTACTGGTACAGATTTTATTCTTTTGCGGAGCAAAAAGTGATTTTTATAAGCGATGTTAAGAGACAATTTTGACGTAGTTTGCAAGGGATTTATCATAGCTTTTCTTTTTTGAAGGTTGTTATGTTTAAACATTGTACATATACCGCAACTATCGAGTCTTAAAAGTCTTTAGATGATGCGGCCTATCTGATTTACGCATGATTTCCCTTCAGTTTAAATATCTCGAGGTGGTAACTATCTTCAACGCGCTTTTCGTCTGACTTTCCCCCACTCCCCCATCATCGGTCTCTACCTATGAGAGAGAGAGAGATGGTTGGGAAAGAGTCAGCAGCAAGCAACGAAGGAAACGACGGGGTGGGACTTATCTGAAGGACGACCTTTCAGTTGTGTGATTATATTTCAGTTTTCGTTGGCTAGCGTTTAACGAATAATTTTGGCAATGCGCAGAGGACTTGTAACCCGTGAGCAGGCCCTCATTATCAACGCCACAGAACGTGAGTATCTTCATCCATTGGAAGATTTGAGACGAGTGGGGGATAGGGTTGCCGAGGGTCTGGCACTAGTGTCAGTACCAGACCCCTTACCAACTGGTGTTGCTTTAAAGGCCTCACTTTCGCGCAGGCGAAGAAACCCTCTTGCTGAAGCGCCACTAATAGGTTAGACAAAGATTTATCAGTAGTATGTCTCATGTACACTGCTCTGGCAAACTACACTTAAAGACATCTTGCTGGTAAAAGTCACGCGTGACTCGCGGCTCGCGTGACTTGCGACTCGCAAGGACTCGCATGAAACACTTTTCTCGCCTCTTCCAAAAAATACTGCCCAGAATGTGTTTCCACTAGAACATTACACAGACTATGTCTCTATATTCATTTAATGCCACCTCATTGTTAAGGAAACAAAAAAGTAATTTAATTTCACCTCTCACTGCGCTCTTTATCAATTTCAATAATTTTCATTTAGCCGCTTTCAAAGACCGAAGAACACCAATTATTCGGTTACAAAAGATACAAGGAAGGTCACAAATCCTTTCTTCTCTACTAACTATGCTAAAACACACTGAGAAACTGTTTCTTCTTGTTGACTAATTCTCTTTTAGGTGAGTTAAGTCGCAATCATTATTCTTTTGTTTGTGACGTTCAATTAAAAAAAAGCACAAAATATTTGGTGGATAAGATATCAAGAGAAGCACTGAGAAACTGAAAGGCGACAAGAACATTTAAGGATTGAAAAGATGAGCTCGAATTGCAAATGAGGAACTTCTTAAGCTAAATTTTGCTAAGGTACACAAACCATGCTCCCTTCATTTTCGTTTGCTCACACATGATACACATAATAATAATCTAAAGTAATTTCACGGTTTCGTTCTTTCGTTATCTGCAGGTAATTACACGTACGCCGACCATATATGCAGTGTGTCATTTCTAGTATGAACTATTTTGTGCTGTATTTCGTTTCTCGATGCGTGTCTCTTCATCTCAACGCAATTTTTGTTTGGAAAATGCAAGCTATTTTCGGCATTTTTCTCACCCTCCATACCCTCCGTGCGGAAAGAGTTAACAGTTGGATTCACCATCGCGCATCTGCTGAATACCGTTTCTAAATCTTGCGCAACCTTTTCGTACAGCGAGGGATCTGACTGAAACGTTTGAGATTCACCCTCCCAAGGACCGGTGTCTTTAGCACTTTGGGCTTTAGGGCTAAGCGGCTTGGTGTTCACCCCATCTGACATAATGTCCGATTCCCATCTGTTAGCACCCTGTACAGGCCACTTGTCTCTTCGTAACTCAATGTCTTCTTCATACCTTTTCTCGTAAGATGTAGCTTGCGATAAAATGTCCTCCTTTTTGTCTTTTCTCGGGTTATTTTCTCTGTCTCCCAGCTTTCTAGCCCTGATATACGCAATATTGTGGAAAATCTTGCCGTACTCCTCTCGAAGTTCTTCCTCGAAATCATCCGCGTAAAGCATAATCTTCAAAGTCGTTTTAACAGTCAGCGGAATTTTGATCATCAATACTGACTCAGTTTAAACACTTAAACGTTTTTGCACCAAAAGACTTCAAATTTATTCAGAAATAAAAAACTCAGACATGCGTCAATTAAACTGGTGTTGTTATGCAATGAGAACTCAGTTATGTGCCAAGAGTCATGTCATCTTAAAGATACAGGAGGTAATTAAGTTTACAGTAAGGGGAAAAAGTTAACAATTCGATAGACCGTGAAAATAGTTCAGAGAATTACTGCAAAAACAAAGACATGCCACACTAATCCGATTGTCTACAACAATGCGAGATCGAAAACACCCGACTGATTGGTATGATGCCCCCAAGATATAAAACGTAGTGATAAACAAACTGCTCAGTTGCCATAGTTATCAGTGCGTAATTCTGGATCACCCAGAGTCCAATTCCAGAGTATTTTGAGTAATTTTTTTTGTTGTTTTGGGTTTTTTTAAAACACTTGTTGGAGATCTTTATATTTTCCACTGAGATTATTTATTTTTGGAGTGGAGAAGAGTAAGAATCTAATACCGACGTAGCCATGTTAACACCAGCCTTGAAAAAAGAAAAAAAAAAAGACGTTTTGCAGAGGTGTGCAGAGTGCCTTCCTTTTAAGGAGCCTCCTGCGCTAGGCTTTGTTGGGCCAATGTTGACGGTACTGGTCTTTACAGTTTGTAGCTCATTTTTAAGCTTTGTCTTTTCCCCTTTCACTGGCTTGTTCTTATAATTTCGTGTATTTCGTTCCTTTTTCGTTTCCGAACTGTGGACGCGAGATTACGCACGCGCGTGAACGTGCGTGTGTTCGTGTGTAGTTCGTGTGGTTCCAAATCCTTAGGATCCACGCCTTGTTTTCTGCCCATCTTTGGTCCTGGCACTAGCCAGGTTAAAGATGGCGGCTAAGCTCTGTCAGAAGGCGGTGGTCATTGTTTTGGAAGAGCTCTCGAATTATTAACCAAGATACAAAACATCAATTCATTTTGATTACATTGGCGAGGAGTGAGAGATAAAAATGGATCTCCTAGGATCAATTCTAAACAGCATGGATGCTCCACCATCGACAGAAAACAAAAAGGCCAAAGGTATCCTGACCCTTTGTTGATTTCCGCCACTTCATGATAATCATATGCTTGAATATGTTTTGAAGTACAAAATTTAACACAGCTGTTTTCTGCGAAGCGTATTTGGATCATTTTTTTGTCATTGATATATTTTTCCATATATTGTTTGAGCGAGAGCTTGAATCTGAGCTCACTGAGTTTGGAAAAGGACTGATATATTGTTAGCGCAAAAAAATCCTCGGACTGAGGTGGAAATCCTGGATTCAGTCACATATCAGCAGAAACAAAACAAGTAATTTTTGTAATCCTCTTCCATAAATTGTGGGCTCAATTGCCATTGTTCCTTATTTATGTAGTTAAGCTTGTCCAGTCTAAACAGCTTGTTTATTAAGTGAATTTTAACTCAAAAGCACGGCCAAGGAGACTTATTTGCATGAGAATGTAAGATGAACAATCGTGGATTGCATTATACAAGAGGTCCGTAAATGTTCTGAAACCCTTACCCCCTGGTAGATCGTCAGTGCTCCATGTCCAATCACACTTTTTTCAAATGATATAGAGATTGAAGCATTATTTTTCATTAGGATTTCCCTACTGTTAATAAACATGTTTGTTGAAATGCAGAGGAGAAAGCCAAACTGAAGAAGCTCCAAATCGAACAAAAGAAAAAGAATGCAGAATTCCGTTCAAAGGTAGGAACTCTTGTAATGTTATTACTGAGTTATCTTTAACTGCTTTTCTCCCAAGATCTTATTAGTTATTCAAATTAGCTATTGATTTTAGAATGTCCTCCATAACTTTGATTTGAACTCAGACTGAGAAGCAAGTCACTGAATTTATAAAAGATACCAAAGAAACAAGACTCAAGTTTCCACCAATGACCAGAGTGGAGAGGAGTATTGTGTAAGTTTAAAGGCATTTATTATTTTGACCTGTTGTGGAGAAGTTCATCTGTATTTGATAGAAATTAATCAACAGAATGAAGTGATCATGCCTTAAGCAAATGTAAGATCACTGGTTAAGAACATCTAATAATGCTCTTTGAAATTTGTGACTCATTTAATTATCAGTGTTCCTTGGGTGTTCATTAGTTGTTGAAGATCAGAGAATTCTCTGGTTACTACACAAACTTATGCAGCTCAATTTCCTTACCCCACTCAAGTTTTCCAGTGGGAGGCGCGGAGGCCTCATAGTTAGTGTGCTAGATTCCGGATTGAGTGATTCCGGTTTGAGCCCTGGCCATGGACATTGTGTAGTGTTCTTGGGCATGACACTACTCTCACAGTGCCTCTCTTCATCAGGAGAATAAAATGGACATTGATCAGCAAATTTAAGGCTGGAGGTAACCCTGCGATGGACTAGCATTCCACCCAGGGGGGAGTAGAAATACTCCTAGTCACTTTTTGTTATGGAAACCGCAGTTAGGCGCTGGCCCAATGGGCCACCTGGCTTGTAAGCAGGCTTTACCTACTCAATTTTTTCACTCAGGTGTGGAGACTATTCTACTCTGCACTATCCTCTAGCTATTGCATTTCTTGATAAAAACCCTGTTTTCCAATTCATTAGTCATGATGTTGCAGAGATTGCTGGTCTTACTACATTTTCTTTTGGAGAAGATGAAGTAGACAGATATGTTATGCTTTTCAAAAAGGTAAGTATTGTCACATGCATGTTAAACAATGAACACTTTTTGAAGCTTTGGGCTGTCATTTTGTCATTGGAGTTTTAAGGGCTAAATTAGTGTGTGTTGCCAAGACTCACATTTTTTTTCAGCATTGTAAACGAAAGGTTTAAGATTTATGTATATTGTTTTTTTTTTTCTTTATTTCTTTGTACTCCTCTGATTGCATAAGTTGTATTGCTAGGTTAGACACCAATTAAGCTGTATTTTTGTTATAATTTAGCACATTTTAATATAACTTTATTTTATTTATTTATTTCCAGGAATTTGCACCCTCTGATGAAGAACTTGAGGCATACAGGAATGGACAGGTAGATATCATTGCATAAGATTTGTTTACAGTTTACAAGCAGGAGTTATTCATAGGAGGCTAAATGAACATGTTAAATAATGTTTTAGAAGATGATGTTGACAGATTTTCACTGAGAATATTCACAAAGCCTAATTGTTTCAGTTCAGTAACTGAAGTAGGTATCAGAGTCATTAAGAAACCTTTAAAGACCAGGGGTCCATCTCTTGAAAGTCCTGCTAACTTAACAGGCCTGAAGCCATGTTTAAAATTAAAATTTAAAGGATAGAAAAGCAGGTTCTGGCACCCAAGTCAGTCGATTTTGTTTTTTTAGCTGACAGTTTTATTGTATTATTTTCAAAACTTTTGAAATCCCCATCTTGAATGAAAACAGAATAACTTTATGGACCTGTTAAGTGACCACGACTTTCAAGAAATGCGCCCCAGGCCCCAGTTGTTTATAGGGTGGATAGCACTTTCCAATGGATAAATCACTAACCAGTGGATAATTGTTAGCAAAAATTATTGCGTTATCCACCAGAAGGCGATTTATGCAGTGGATAGCCTTATCCACCCTTCAAACAAATAGGCCCATGTGAAAGCTAGCGGCATGATTCTAGGCCAATCAGAGAGTAGGCATTTTAATCATCACCTGAGCTTTATGAAGTAAATCAGATATTGTTACATTTCTCAGCAATGAAGCTCGCTATTTTGATTATTAGTTATCTTTAAATTCCATGCTTCTAATATCTTTGACTTTATTGAGCTGTGATTTTATCTTTCATTTTACTAGGAATTTGATCCAGAAAGTACAGTAAAGCTCAAGGAAGCATCTGAGGTATTGGCCATATGGAATGCTTTTATTTAATCCTTTAACTCCAAGATCCCAATGTTATTTCTCCCTTCTAGTTGCTAAATGTTCCCTGTAAAATAGTTCTGAGAATGTAGGCATTAGATCAAGATAACAACTTTACTTGTGATCAATTTGAGTATTCTCATCACCTTAAAGGTGTGTGCAGTTGACCCCTGGGGGGTGTTGACCCCTGGGGGTGTCTTCCCCTGGACACTTTACTTTCGCTGAGCCTCTCTCCACCCACATTCAATGTGATTGGGTGTGAATCTGAAGAGCTTGGTCTAATATTTAATTTTGAGTCTCATGGGAAAATTTTCTCATTAAGTAAGACACCAAATAGACGCATTTTCTTTCACTGTTTAATTTGCCAAGTTTGGCTTCTCTCCTCTTTGATAAGTTTCTATTGGAGAATTTCTCTTGGTATGTGATAGGACTTCATGACGACAGGATTTTGAGCAGTTTTGGCTAGGTGTCCTAAAACCAAGAATGTAGAAATCACTACGGCCAATAAGAACCAAGTTTAGCATCATCATAAGCCAATGAGAAGGCAAAATAAAAAACAGGCAAATTGGTTGAGGCGCGAGTGATAAATTCGTGACTGGTTTTGGTTTTGCATTTGATTGGTTTGGAGGATAGTGCGAATTTTCTAGACCAATAACACAACGAAGTTAAGCAAAACTAAAGCAACGGTGGACTACTATCGACACTCAGTTAAAAACTTTTCTGACACGAGTCTGTTATCTTGCGATATTTCTTCCTGGAACTTCACATCAAACCTTCGATTTTATGTACAAGACCCAGTTTCCTTACTCGCGTCCAGACATACTGCAGATACATGTAGATCATCCTCAAATATCCTGCCATCCTTCTCATTATACAGAGTAATGTTGATGAAACCAGCAAGGACACACAGCGCAAGTCGTCAAAACTTTCCAAACAAGAACCGTCCACATTTTACAAAGACAAGTACAGACACTTACTGGGTACCGACAGTGGAAAAGATGCCGCCAAGGCTACAAAAAGTAACTCAGCGTACGGTTATGGTAAGTTTCTGGTGAGGAGATGTTACGCAACTTTTCTGGCTACAGCAGACTGATACAAAAAGTTGAGCTTCATACCGTGTTTCCTCGAATAAGCGCCCATGCTCTAAAAAGCGCCCTCCCCGGAATAAACGCCCACCACTAAAGCCATAATGTCAAACATGCGCCGCCCCCTCCCCCCTCGATTAAGCGCTTCCTCCTCTCCTTCTCCGCCCTCCCTCCCTCTATTTCTTAAATAGTAAGGATACAAGGAAAACCTGTTACTATTGCTACTATATTTATTACTTTATTTTAAGCTTCAATTGCAGTGGATTCAGTACAGGAAAATAATTAGCGTCCCTTTCTTTGACCAAAATTTTAGATGAGCACCAGGCGCTTATTCGAGGAATACAGTATGGGTAACACGTGCTAAAATTAGTCAGCTCCGTCATTGTCTCTGCCTCGGGAGTGCTGTAAAGAAACCTCCTACTTTAGACGGATGAAAACTCCTGCTTTAGACGGATGAAAACTCCTGCTTTAGACGGATGAAACCTCCCATTACGCACATGATTCTTGTCTGTCAGTGTCGTGTACTATATACTTGCAGCGTTGAGCGCATTTGAAACAGAATAGCAGACTGTAGATAGTCGAAATCGGTTCAAAGACAGATTTGTTCACTGCATATCAGATGTTCACAACTGATTTTGGATAGATAGTTTTCATGCTAAGAAGAGACTCCAACTAACAGATATCAACAACTACCGGCATCCTAAAAATGAAATATTAACGACGTTCACATAAACAAGTAAGGCAATTATCCAAGCAACGCACCGAAAAGAACGAACTACCCTAATGCAGGGATCGAAACTGACCACTCAAAACTACCATACTCAAAACTAACATACTCAAAACTAACATACTCAAAACTAACATACTCAAAACTAACATACTCAAAACTAACATACTCAAAACTAACATACTCAAAACTAACATAGGCTGCTTGGGTTTTAAGACCAATAACCTGATAGCAAAACTGACAAATGTGTTTTCCAGGACCTGACATATAACACTCGACTAACAAACGACATCTCAGTAGTGTCCAATGATGACTCCAGTGTAGGTTGTCGAGGTTTCGCTCTGTTGCAAGTTCGTCCTTTGATCTGGAGGAGAAATCGTCGTGGAGGGGGCGCACTCAGAGGTGACGAACCTGTAATTGGGCGAAACATCCAGATGTTGTTGAAGCGTTTGTCACTGTTTCCGCCCTATTCAAGGATACACTCATCAGGAAGATTAGAATGCATGATCAAATGTGCTTCTTACGTAAACTTCATGCTACATTACGTCATGTTACGTCACGTCCCGTCCCGCCACGTCACTTCTCACTGCACTGTGCTGTGACAATCTAAACTGAATCTTGATTTTGCTGGTATTTTTGCAGTTCCCAGTGAAAACAAGCGGGATCTGCGTTCAATTGAGGAGACACTAAACGATATTCGTAAGAGGAAGAAGTTTCGACCGGGTGAGGTTGATGATGAGGAAGATGATGTCGAAGCTGAAGACAATGGCTAACCTTCCCATACAGTCCTCGAGGAAATTTTTGGATTCTCTTGAAGAGGATAACACCTTCTCTATCGTTCTGTCATCCAGAGAGCGGAATTCGTTATTTTATTATCGCTGCGAGGGTCGTTAGGGGCCAATTTTAGCCTCTACAGAATACAACAATATTCAGCGAAAATGTGTCAAATCTTGTAGCAAACTTGAGGTAGTAACCTTGTGGCTAGTTGTAAATTCGATTTTAAGAATATTTTTTCGTGATTTGCCCATAGAACAAGAACATGTATGATGTAGTTGAAATGTTGATAGTGGTTTCACCTGTTTGTAAAATTTGAAACGATTCAATTCATCGACAGGTTTTGTGAGGCGTAGCAGGTATTCAATTAGTTTAGATGAACACGTTCCTTTTTTCTGAATTCATTTATTGAGTATGGTTTGAGCTTCACTTTGGTCATAAAGAAGTATTGCCAGCTTCTTACATACATACATACACACATACACATACATACGTTACTTGACCACTCCCCATAGGGGCTTTTCAGGGCCAATTCCCACCCATCCCACCCCAGGGGAGGACATCCACCACACAGTAATCCCGTGTGTGGGAAATTAACGTCTCCAACCCCTAACCCTGCAGGAGACGGGGCCTACGGTTTATTCGTCCTTATCCGAGAAGACTAGAATATCTATCCATTTTTTGATTATAGAAAGGTAGCAAATTCTCCTCACTTATTTTAAGACCATGAGTATCGGTCCGGCCGGGGCTCGAACCCTCGACCTCCTGCACAACACAATCCGGCGCTCTAACCAATTGAGCTAACCGGGAGGCGATCAAAGAGAGAGAGGCTCCGTCCTGCCTTCGGCGCTGGTTGCAACTCGACCTTTGAGTTCCGATTGGTTCTTGATTTCATTTGCATTTTGCTGTGATTGGCTAGATGCAATAATCTTGTGACGGAACGCTTCTCTCTTAGATTTAGAGGCATTGTTTGCTAAATTTCTGTGAAATACGGCAACAATTTTTCTGTAGTTATTATGCTTTCCTCATTTTTTCGAGTGACATAGAGTGTTTCAAAAGTGTCTGTGATTGCTTTTTAAACATCGAAGATTGTCCGACGTATTTGTCAGTTTTGATTGAATTACATTTTATGAACTAAAAATGTGTATCTTATGATATCGGTAGAAGAGAATAAGAAATCAGTTCTCGTCAATCTTCAACAAACGGTTGTCTAGAATACAAAATTAACGTAATTTGAATAAGTTTACTTGCCATTAATAAACAAATTGAGGCATTGTGTTCTTTACTCTTCTTTTGTTTAAAGACTGCAGGAATAAATTTCACTTTTTCTAATTTTTTAAGCCTGTGTTATTACAGACTTTTCCGTCTGTAAGTAAAACATGTCGTAATTTAGACTTGCCAAAGATATCTGCAAAGTTGAGCCAAGTTTAGTACGGCAACGCATGATTGCCGAAGAATATTCTAGTAAACGCTTTTTTTTAGGTTCGTAACCCTTTGTTTTTCTGAAAAAGAGCGAGTAAATTTGTACTTCTGTATGTTGTATCGTTCTAAGAAGTTAGAAATTAGGTATTTTTTTTCATAATCTTTTCTTTAGCAGGCAACAAAGCGGCTTCAAACATCACATGTGCTTTGTCAAGAGGGCGTTATTGAAACCTTTCAAAGTCAGAAACCTTATGACGAAAACAACAGATCACTTTGCACAGTTTTGACACATTTCAGGAAACATTTCGATTTTTATGACTTTACTGTGTTGTGCGGCAACTAAAAGTAACTTCAAATTAATTCTAGTGCGTATCGCTGCGAAAGTTCTAATTCGTATAAAGAGACCGAAAAAGAGAAAATTAAATATTCTATTGTTGCGAGTTTTTAATATTGTCTTTGGTTGTAAAATTTTATGCAAAACCTCTTTACAGATGAAAATGATTCACCTGCAGATAAATTAATTCGATTCAAATGTTTGTTCAAAATGTTTATTTGTTAAGTGAAAGATCACCAGAAATATGACTTTGAAAAGAAATTTCGTTTCGTCTTGACCGTTTTAAGAAATATTGCCAATTTTTTCATACATTCTGGCAAGAAACAGTGAGAAAGAACCAGTCTAATAGATTTATAGCGTTTCAAACTGAAATTCACATACATACATTAGTCTGGAAACCAGCTGCTAACAAAAGAGAAACAAAACTGTGTTTGCCATACGTGTCTGCGTGAAGCGTTTGAGTTTTCCTGTAGGTTTAATGCTCACTTTAATGCTTATATTTACTCTTTGTGAAATGGAAATTGTCCTTTCTTGTATTTTTTTTTCGAAACAGAACTGCGACTTGCGTTTCCTGGCTTGGATTCAATTTATGACGTTAAGAAATTAAATGTAATTTTTTGTCCAAAACTTCGGGATTTTCGAGAGGAGATAAGTATTTCTTCATAATAATAATTTTTTTTCGGAAGAAATTCGTCGATTTAACGTAAGCCGCTTCAAGTTCTGAACTTTGTTTAGTAAGATGTTCGTTCCTAGAGAAAACTAGATACTTTTATCAAATTTGACATCGTTGGTGTTCAATGTTGATGTAAACCGTAGCGATTTTCGAGCCATGCAAGACATTTGTCTTCAATTTCTTGTGTAAGGTTCTCCACACTTTTCCACCGCCTGGTTTTCAAAAGTTCGTCATTGTTTTTTTCTTCGATTTCCGTTGATACAATATGGCTTGCCCATTCTTTTCCTGTAAATGTGTACCTCCTTGAGATTTTAGGGAAGTGATTTGTACGCGTCCACATACGAGTTGTGTCGTGTCCTTGTGTTGGCCATGTTCGAAGTTGAGTAGTTCTAGATTGGGTGGCGGGAAACGGTCCAGTGTCGCTGAATCTTGTTAAATAAGATGGTCGCTTGTTACATGAGGAACAACGTTGATTTTTAGCGGATTTTACGGTATAGAATGTACGTGTTTGCATTCTTGGAATAATATTGCTGTTTGTTTTCATTCTGTTCAATTTAGCATCACTTTCATTTGCAGAATTGCTGCCGTTTGTGGCATCTTCCGATGTAGTTTTAGTCGTATTGTTTTTCGTCGACATTTCTTCATTTTCAGTCTCTTCGCTCTCTTCGAGTATTAGTTTTGAGTTGTAAACAGATGATTGAACGTTCCGGATAAACCTCTGGGGATAAATAATCCTTTGTCTTGTTTTTTCGCGAAATTTTCCGTTTGCTCGTGATTTTCTAACTTGCACGTCCTCAGCGAAAGAACTCCCTCGCGCCTTCCTTTCTTCGGGTAAAAGATCTAGCCTACCAAGTGAAATCATGGTTTGTTTCATTTCTTCAGACATCGGGAACAGCTCTGGAGTTCCTTTTCGATGCAATGACGGCTTTTCCATAGCAGAATTGTTGTGTTTTCGTTCCCGCTTTGGCTTATGTCCCTGATGTTCGACAGCTGTGCTTTTGTAAGTCGAAATTTTCTTCACATGTGGTTGCTGCAGCGGCCTTCTCGTAAACATGTTCGCTAGCATAACCTGTCTAGCCACTTTTCGAAAATTCAGCGTTTCGCTTGTTATTTTACCGTTTCTGGCAGGTATTTTTCTTGTCCTCGATGATGTTCTCTTCGTCTCCATTTCGGAAATTTTAAAACTGGTCATCAAGCACTGTTGCGAAAATTAAGCAGCAAGGTTTCCCTCTGCCGCCCCGAGCAGCAACAACTTTACAGCTAATTTGCCCAGTAATATCTTGCACGTCACTAAAAGTTACTGTTGCGTACGGCATTTCTTGTTGTTTACTGAATTAAAACATTTCCTCCAACAAAGAGATGTCGGTTTTTTCGTGTGAATTAAAGTGTATGTGACCAGAAACTGGAGTAAGCCCGCAATATCAAATTCTGACGATTAAATCCATTACTACTGATCAAGCTCTTTAAATTCTCGAAATGCAAATAAAGGTCTATTTAACGCCAATCATGCTAAAAATAAATAAAGGTCGCCGAAAGTGGCGGCATTGATATTACTTTTTCCCGAGGGTTGTTTTATATAGGATGTAAATAAAACATCGACCTACTTAGAAATCTTTTGTCCCTCAAGTCGGTTGGTGATAATAAATTATTCGCGAGGTGCTAAATGTCGGTTTTCCTCAAATGTTTTCAGCATCATATTTTAAAAAAAATTCTAACTACTAACACCCCTGTACATTTTTCTTAACATTATGGTGCTAAACAAAAAATTTATACGTCGAAACGTATCCCTCACACAAATACCTCTATTCCAGTGTTGACTTTTTAAAAGTGATTTTAACGGGCGCTCTAGCGGTGTGACTATTTTGAGAACTACATTCTAGTTGTTTATGTTTATGGTATCGAGATGAAGTTTCAAGTGTGATGTTTGATGGTTTGTGGTTTACGCAACTATATTAGAGGACTACGCCTCATTAGTCATTTTGATGGAGTGAACCTTAACCGTCAATAAAAGGGTGCCGTGAGAGTGGTACCTCTGTGCTTAAAACTAGAGAGCTAAGTTTGTTTTCCTTGAGGGTTTAAGTGGACGAAATTCTTTTGCAATCATTTCAGGCAAATTGTCTCTCGGTTCATCGTTTAAGTAGCAATAGCGATTTCAAATGCAACGTTATTAATTTTGCAAAATACAACAAGCGAACCCGCACGACCTCGCCTCGTGCTGATGATTTTTAAGTTCGGACACCCGAGTACCGTTTATTGCCGACCACTAAGTTCGATCAGCTTCATGGCTTATTATTCATGGTGGAGAATTGGTAAAGGATGTTTGTTTGAATGAATGAATGAATGAATGAATTCCTTATGTGCCCTTTCTATACAATATTCAAAGGCGCAGTATCCCCCATCAATTCGATAGACACAACACAAAGATAGACCACAACACCGGGCACTACGTGCCCTACTCTTTTCGAACAGTGTGTGGGTTCTTTAACGTCCCACACATTTTTTTATCACATACAAGGGCTTGTGAGACGGGACCTCCATTTATCGTCCCTATCCGAGAAGACTAGAAAGTCTAACCATTTACAGATGATATTATTACAAAGGCAGCACTTGCTTCTCAGTTATTTAAAGACCCTTAATGTTGGTCTGGCCGGATTTGAATTCACGACCTCCCGCACAACAGTCCAGCGCTCTACCAATTGAGCTAACTGGGAGGCGGTTGTTTGCGTGTGTCGCTGTGGTTTGAAAGAAAATAAAAACATCTTTACAAACTGAAGGATTGCCAGAGAGTTCTGAGCTTATGTTAGGCGCGACTTCTTATTGATTCATTCGTCTGAGCGCCGACAAATTTAGAGAGCTTGGTATCTAAATGAAGAGTCAAACGGGAAAAAAATTTTATGTTGGAGGACGGAGTAAATGTTAATTAGGTTATAACATCCATTAATGTTAACCCTTATCGTGCGGCTCCCGGAATATTCCGGGCGCACGTGTTCGTCCATGTGGACGGGTCCCGGAATATTCCGGGTTTCCGAACATCATCGTTTTATTGGCGGAGAAGTTCGGAATATGTTGGGCTTACATTGGTTTATGATCATGGGCCAACCCAAGGGACATAAATTAAGCATCCGACAGAGTTCCGAAGACCCGAGTAGAATAAAAGAGTTAATTAGCATGAAATATATTTTGTTGCGCGGTAACACTGATAAACAAAGATGGCGGCCAATATTGTATTTGTTGATGAAGGAACTATTGATGAAGTTGTCGGCGGAGAGGATAGCGATTTAGATGAAAATACGGATAATTCTGAAAGCAGTGAAGAAGAAGATGACAGAAGAGAAGAAGACAGTGATGGCGAGGCGGACAGCGAAGAAGAAACCGAAGAAGACAACTGGGTCCTTGGCGATCGCATCCCGCGAAGGCTTGACTTCACAGCTGATCGAGGGTTGAATGTGGAGCTTCCTAACAATCCATCATTCTCTGACTACTTTCATCTCCTCTTCCCCGAAAACCTATTC